AAAATTGATACACCTCGGCTTACCATCTAGCGGAAGGTTTCGGAAGGGTGAAAAAACATATATTTAATACTTGCGCCGGGTATTTAATGTTCGGCTCCGCCCGAACTTAGACTTTCTTACTTGTTTTATTTGTTGTTTACAAAAAAGTACTTGCCAAGTATATAAGTCAAAATTGTTAAATATATATTGGTTTCATTAATTTCTTCATAGAGTTGGTGCTTCTTTTATAGGAAAATTCATACGGCTTATGAACAGATTCATACCATGTAAATGCACCATTATGTGTAATAAAATATTATAAATTGAAGTTAAATTAATATTTTAAGAAAACATCTACTATCATTGATTGCAATTCATCAATTTAAGCTTTTATTTAAAGAAAAATTACACACATTAACAATCTTTGCGATTGTGAAAATTTTCAATGCATTTGTCAAAAATTTTACTAGCCTCATGGCTAGTGAAATTTTATTCACCTCATTCTTGCCAAAAATTCGACACGAACTTTGTTACCGATTCACAGACGCTCTACTATCCTTTGAAATTTAAAAAAAATGGAACTTTTCACTCCAAGTGATATAAAAAGTAGTAATTTTTAAGCAAAAAACAAAACCGACTTCAAATCCATATAAAAATTAAAGTTATCGTTAATGTCTTCATGATCCAATGATTGAATCTAAACCAAATTAGTATGAGACTACCTTTGAGGTAACACCTTTCCTTTAAAAAAGGAATTATAGAAATCGGTTAACGTGGTTCAAATTTATGCGGTAACATACGAACTGATACCCTTCTCCTTTTTTTAAGTAGGTTAAAAAAGTGAACACATGTTTGTATATACATATGTATGTATGTAGGTATGTAGGGGTATGTAGCTGCAAACATTTGTCATATATTTTTACCACATTTATATCAACTCGCTTTCTTGTTTATCCACATTTTTACTTTAAATGCACTAATCGTCAGTTATATGAATTTCATGATTATGTTTTGATATTTTTTATATGTATGTGTACTTTTTCTTTTTTTTTCAGAAATTTAATAATTGAGTTTTCTCCACAATTTTGGTTTTCCCACTGTTGCGCTTAAGCGACCGCACTTTCATATCACACCGAGTTGTATAAGCGTTGAAAAATTGATCGACATTGACAAATCCAAGATCATATTTTGTCACTATTTTAACAGTCATACCTGAATATATTTAAAATAATTTTATTTCTGTAGAGCTTTTGTTTTCCCTTTGATTTATTGCAACATATTCGTGTAAAGTAGAAGGATATCAAATCTTGATTGCATTGTTTATATTAAGAAAATTTTATTTTTGTAATAATGGCGGCCTATTTGAATCGCACTATTTCGATGGTGACTGGAAATGGCGCCAATGCTAACGCGGGCGCAACGTCTTCTAATTTTAACCCGAATGCCTCGATGGTGGAAAATCGTACTATGCAAAACGCTCTTGCTGATAAATCACCTTTACAGGTATTTGTAAGGGCTAAGAAAAAGATCAATGACATTTATGGTGAAATTGAGGAGTATGTTATTGAAACCACACAGTTTATTAATGGTAATTTCACAGCAAATATTTGTTCATGAACTTTATGTAATTGGATCATTTATTTCTATTTCATTAGCACTACATGCAGAAGCCGAAATTGTGGACAAAGCCGAACGAGAGCTATTTGAAAGTTATGTACATAAAGTGGCGGCTATACGCGAGGTTCTCACTAGGGATCACATGAAGGTGGCTTTCTTTGGGCGCACATCCAATGGCAAGAGTTCTGTAATTAATGCTATGCTGCGTGAGAAAATTCTCCCTAGTGGTATTGGACACACAACCAACTGTTTTTGCCAAGTAGAAGGCAGTGATGGTCAAGAAGCATATTTGATGAAAGAAGGTTCAGATGAAAAACTCAACGTGGTGGTAGGTTGTAATTGCCGATTTATTTTTCGATTAACTACAAGACTTATATTTCAGAGCATCAAGCAACTGGCAAACGCGCTATGCCAGGAGAAGCTTAGTGAAAGTTCATTAGTTCGCATATTTTGGCCAAGAGAGCGTTGCAGTTTATTGCGTGATGATGTTGTCTTTGTTGACTCTCCTGGCGTTGATGTGTCTGCTAACTTGGATGACTGGATTGATAATCATTGCATCAATGCCGATGTATTTGTTCTCGTGTTGAACGCAGAATCAACTATGACTCGTGCAGAGAAACAATTCTTTCATACTGTCTCACAAAAACTTTCTAAACCAAATATTTTTATACTAAACAATCGGTGGGATGCATCTGCCAATGAACCTGAATTTCAAGACTCGGTATGTAGTCATATTTTATTACTTGTGTATTAAATTTTATCTATCATGTAGTTTGTAATTTTGATTATTTTTTTTTCGTTGAACTCTTTAAACTGTTAATGTTTACTGCGAAAGCAGGATTTGGAAAAGGTAAAACATTGGAACACCTTCACAGTTGTAAATATGTATTGAGACCCTCTTCATTACATTTTTAAGTTATTATACATATGCACATATGAATAAAAGTGACACATAATGATTGTAATTTACTGCTTATTTTAGGTAAAATCACAGCACACAGAGCGTTGTATTGACTTTTTGACAAGGGAGTTGAAAGTAAGCAATGAAAAAGAAGCAGCTGAACGTGTGTTTTTTGTATCGGCACGTGAAACACTTCAGGTAAAATATTGCCACAAATTCAAAATTGAGGAGAGTGTAAACCGTATATTTTGATTAATTTATTAAGGCTCGTCTCGAAGAAGCAAAAGGGAATCCCCCACATTTGGGTGCAATAGCGGAGGGTTTCCAGGTGCGTTATTTCGAGTTTCAGGACTTTGAGCGGAAATTCGAGGAATGCATATCTCAGAGTGCCGTTAAAACTAAGTTTGAGCAGCACAGCTCACGCGGCAAAAGCCTCTCCGCTGATATGTGTTCAATGTTAGATAACATATTTGAACGTACTACTATATTCCGGAATCTTAAAATTGACCAAAAAACGTTACTTACCGAGCGTATTCAAGGAACAGAGACCCAAATGATGCAAGTGACCAGAGATATGAAACTTAAAATTCACAATATGGTGGAGGAAGTGGAACAGAAAGTATCCAAAGCACTAAATGAAGAAATCTGGCGCTTAGGTGTACTGATAGATGAGTTTAATATGCCTTTCCATCCGGAGCCATTGGTATTGAATATCTATAAGAAGGAGCTCAACTCGCATGTGGAATCAGGTTTAGGCTCCAATTTGCGAGCCAGACTTTCAATGGCCTTAGCTATGAATGTAGAGGCGGCACAAAGAGAAATGACGGGTAATTTTGCAAAATTTAAAAAAGTTATAGAAACGACATTTTATTTTTTCATATTCCAGATCGCATGTACACTTTAGTACCCAACGAAAAGGTCGTGGTGCAAACAAAAATTGCTACACGATCGCAGCCATTTGAAATGCTATATTCGCTCAATTGTCAGAATTTGTGTGCTGACTTTCAGGAAGATCTCGAGTTTAAGTTTTCATGGGGTATTACTGCTATGATTCAACGTTTCACTGGTAAAGTGAGAGAGCGCAATAAAAAGGGACCGCCAGCTTTGTTAAACAGACCGAATAGTGTTGGGGTAAGTGAACATTCGCACATAACACATTTTTTTGGAAATGTATTTTTTCTTACAAAAATTCTTAGCCATATCGCTAAAAAAAATTATAGGCATCTTTATAACAGCTATTTGAAAATTTCCCATGTATATTTAAAAAAAAATGTATGCCTTTGCATTGAAGATGACGATACGTTTTTTCATAGAATCTTTACTGATTTGTTAAAAACACATATAGTAGTACATATCAGAAAAGCGCAGCGAGTATGATCAAACTTAGTATATATCGACTGCTAAGTGGAAGATCGACCTATCTCGACAGCCAGTTCGAATACGTCCTATTTCAAAAAACTTTTCAAGAACGCCCTATATCAGAATTTTATTAAAAACATCCTATCTCAGAATTTGGTTGAAGAACGCCCTATCTCAGAATTCTGTTCAAAGACGCCCTACCTAACTTCAAAATATATTAAAAATGTGCTGAAATAGAGCGTTTTTGAATCGGCAGCTGAGATAGGACGTTTTTGAAACGAGTTCTGAAGTAGGGCGTTCTTCAACCAAATTCTGAAATAGGGCGTTCTTGAGAAGTTTTTTTGAGATAGGACATTTTTGAATTGGCTGCCGAGACAGGTCGATCTTCCACTCAGTAGTCGATATATCCCACTCACCATCCACCAGATGCGTGCAACTAATTAGCAACGAAATTCAAAACGATATTGCTTGCAAATTATGTTTATTTATTTATTTTTAATAATTTGTTTTTTGTTATTTTTTTGGCCTTTTTAATAATTATATTCAACAATTTTATAATGAGCTCTAGGCCATTTTTTAAATGAAAATTTATTGTGGAAAAGCAACAATAATTTGAAAAAATGGTAGAAGTGATAGCTATTTCGGAAATCACCACATTTCCTCATCAGACTTCTTTCAGTAGGATTCGAACCGACGATCCCACTGACTCAGCCAGTTGCCTATGCACCGTGCTAAG